GCGCTTTGGTGACGTGGTTGATTACGTTACTGTTGATCATCTGTCCATCATCGTATAAAGCCCGCCCTAACAATTTGATTGGCCCGCCAGATATTGTGCGAGCGCTACTATTGAGCAATGCCAGACCGAACTTCCCGACCTCAAACGTTGTGGGCGGGACTAAGTTCGGAATGGCACCCAGGCTACAAAAATCTGAGAGTGGGAAGAACATAATCCCATCATAAACCATCTGGAACCAGTTACTAATGATTTCTGATAGAGCAGTAATATATATTTTTAGCAGGTTCCAGCAGCTTTCATCTGAAGATTTAGCATCAAATCCTTAAGAATAAGCAGGTAAAGAAATAGAAGGATTGTTTCTATGAAATAACAGAGCTATACAAGGACCTAGAGTTAGCAGATAAAGGTGTCTTCCCTATAACTGATTTCACTGGTAATATAATAGTATATAATTATATAAGCATATAATTTCTTTAAGTGTTAATGATTCAAGCAGGTAGTCTGATCAGATTAGGTAAAAAAAGAAAAAAAGAAAAAAGTTAATTCATCTTAGTGTCTTTGAACACACCATGCTGAAAGAAGTGCAAATAATCATCTCAGAGTAAATGTACCATTAGACAGGGAAGATCCTGGTGCAGTGCTACTTTTCCAGCGTACAGGTTCAGGTCGATTCCAAATTCTGTTTTACTGAGTATTTAAAAACAATAAGGTAATAGCTTCAGTGCTATTGAGATAGGATCCCAGTTTTCATCTGCTAAATGTTTTAAAAAAAAATAAATAAATAAAAAAAAATTTTACAGCTGAATTTATCAGTTTTTCTTGAGTTCTAATTTTGATTTTATAGAAAGCGGTAATTTTAACTTAAATTAAGTCAAAATATGTAAAATTAATAAATTATGAATAGATATACTTTTTTGTGCCCCTATGAAAACACGCTGGCCCCCTCCTGGCCCCCTGGTACATTCACTCTAGAACCGCCACTGGCTCTGGATTACCCATAATTCCAAGTCGTAGTGTAAAAACCAAAATACTCAAATACATTGTTCTTTTAAGATCTTTATTGCGGTTTGAAACATATTATATGAGTGTATTTTTATTTTATTTTTACCAATGAACTAATGAACTATACACAATTATTAACATAGTAATTAAATGTGCCACTGTCTGCTTTGGTATTGGTGTCATGTTTAAACGGCTCACCATCATGTTGAAATCTGACATGTGTTGAGTATAAATAAGGTCCAGTCAGTTTCCAGTCAATATCAGGAGGATTTGAGAGGCATTTTTAGCATCATTACATTTGCAAAGAGAGGTCCTAGTCCTGAATTGCATAGGGGGCCAACCAGATGTCAGTGATGGGGCCCCTGAGGGGTCGGGCCCCATAAGGAATTGCAGTCTCTGTGAATTGCTGGAATCAAGCCCTTCCTGTAAATTGCGCAGAGTAGATCATCTGTAGTCCATTTGTTCTCTTGCTGGACTACATTTCCCTTGTCAGTGTGCGCGCAGATGAAGGCGGAGACAAATCAGCGCATTTGGGTTCTTCTCTCAGTTTTTTTTTTCTTCTTCTGAGGATTGTAGCAAAACACAGACTTCAAAACTACTGAAGGGATCACTTCTGATCGGTAGGAAAAAAATACGTTTCTATAACGCTCTTTAAGGGAATCTGAATTTGCATGAGAAATAATAGTATTTTGCACAGATTTCGTGTTGTTTTCCTTCACTTAACTTTCTCGCAACGCCCATGGTGTCGGGTTGTTTGCACACATCGGCAGCTTTATTAAGAGTTTTTTTTTAAGCTGTCGATTAATTAAAATGTTACTTGTTTTTTATGCTTATTTTGGCTTATTTTCCTTTTTGTCATTCAGTAAACGCAGCTATAAAGTTAAACTCTTGAGAAAAAATAAAAATCAAGGCGCTTTTTAATTAATTTTCTTTGTAGATAATCTTTCTCAGTCTGTAATATTCGTCTCTGCATGTTCATGTTCAGCCTTTTTGACTGTATCCATAATTAGCATGCAGGGACACGCTGGGAACACTGAGAACCCCCCCTCTGGCACAAACACTTGAAGAAGTAGTGTGACCAGAACAGCTGCAATGACTGCATCAGCACTTCTTTAGCCCCCCCACCCCCATGCCTGATAAAGAATCAGCTGAAATCCCAAATATAATCTCACTGTAAACAAACACTTTCTGTGAAACCATCAGAGCATAAGACTTAAACTTACTCACCATTATTGTATGTATAAATAAAGTTATTGTAAACTACCAAGGGATAAATGGTTCTCAGGTATAATATTTACAATAGAGCTACATTATAAAAATCAGTTGATTAATGTTTCCCTTATAGAGTTTAGATCAGCATTGCAACTCCCCGAGATCCCCATTTAGTGCTTACGTATGTCTTGACATTTTAGTTTAATTTAGATTTGACAATATTTTTCTCTCTTTCAGTTTCCTGGAGAATGTGTGGATATCTAAGGGCATTACTTTTAGTAATCTTTAAATTGAACAAAAATGGTCAGACTGAGTTTAGCAAGATATGGCTAATAAAAAACAACACAACTTAACACTTTGTATTTAACATTTTCCCTTTGGGAGCCATGGGCTGCCATCGTGCGGCGCCCGGGGAGCAATCAGGGGTTAAGGGTCTTGCTCAGAGACCCAGAGTGGCAATCTGTGGGAGTGGGGTTCAAACTCAGAACCTCAGGATTCCACGCTCTTTGCCCTAAACACTAGGCCGCCACTCCCCCTTGTTAATATAGTTAATAAGTAATGTTTTCTACATTTTGTCAGAACACCACAACATTAGGATTTTATATAGGTGGTGCGTAATTGTTAAGTGGAAGGAAAATGACACATGACTTTAAGATTGTTTTAGAGGTTAAAATCTAAACTGTATGTTTGTGCTGGTGAAGATTCTTAGTCATCCAGGTCATAGTCTTTCCAAAGTTAAAAAACAATCCACTGGACTTGGTTTCCAAGAGCTTTTTCAATTAAAAATGTCAGAATTAGCGTTGAGTTTTTATAGTAGCCCAAAAACTTGTTTTGGCTTAGAAAACATGCAAATTCAACCAGAAGAACAAGTCCGCCACTAAGAAATGAATGCTGTGTGTTTGATTTAGTACAGTCACCTTCAGTGTGCTTTGGTCTAAACTGTTTTATTTCACCCTCCGCTGTTTGTTTAACGCTTTGGTGAATCTCTGCTTCAGTTCCAAGACTTTTGCAGCTTCTAGCAGATTTCCCCCCAGGTTTTTATTTTATTCAGCTCCGTCCATTTTCCCTTCAACTCTTATCAGCTTCACTCTCCCTGATGAAGAGAAACATCCCCATCAGCATTATACTGCCACTACCAAGGTCCCATGTGTAGATGCTATATGAGGAGATGTACTGTGTGTTTTCTTTTCTTTACAAATAAGGAAAGTTTTGCTCTCGTTTGGCTAGGGCATCTTTTGTTCCACGTATTCATATTCCTGTGGCTTAATGAAAACCACTAACCAGGGCTTTCATTTAACAAGAGCTTTTCTCCCACTGCCTCTCTATAAAGGCTGGGTGTGCAGAGTGAACAAAAAATATTCTTCTGCCAGAGCTTTTGTGAATCTGTGCAGCACCTCCTGGCTGCTCCTCTCAATAATCCTCATCGTTCCAGGCTTTTTTATGAAGCCACAGATTTTTTCCTCCACTTTGTTTCTACTGAAAGTGGAAGTAGTGCAGCTGCTCTCTGCTTGGATGATCCGCTCTCCTCCAGAAGAAAAAAAATCACTATATCTGCCTTATATTTTAGAGGAATGAGAAGGTGCAGTACCACTTTCACATTCAGTGAACCAGAGGGGTTAGGCAATATACTTTGTGCTGGTAATTTACATGAGCTGGCCTTTTTTTCATACTTCTGATGTGCTGAAAGGACAGCTCTTAAAATAAGTGCATTTGTACTTGGATTGAGGAGGTAAAAGATACATTTTGCCAATGAAAAAAGACAATTTACACTTAAAATAAGAATAAACAATTGCATTTTCTTATTTCAAGTGCATGTTATCTAACTATCTTATTTTAAGAGTAAAAGTACTCATTCCATTGGCAAACTTTCTCATTTATCTACTCAAACTAAGGGTAAATACACTTAATTTAAGAAATGTTTACTTATTTCTAGATTGTTTTTCCAGTGCAATAACATTTCTTCCACCTCTTTATATCCAGTCTGTTCTGATTAATTAAGTTTGTCAAATCTATTTTCTCACTAGATGTTACCATTAGACTTGCTGTGAGCAGCAGTAGTGTCTGTATAAAAAACTGATAATAGGACTTTTTCCTTCCTCCCTGTACTTGTTGCCTGTGCTGTCACATTTGAGAGGAATGATCCAGATTGTGTCCAGTTCGGTTAATCAGCAGTGACAGAGCACAGCACTCAGTATTCTTACCTTGCCTCATTGGCATTTACAGAGGTTCTAGGCTAAATTCCCCCTTCTCTCTTCTTCCATACAAATGAGATTTCTCTCAGTTGAAACCATGTGTTAGAATTACATTCTGAAAGATCCATTTAGTCTCTTTAGGACCAATTGGACCAAGATTTGTTTTGTTAAATCTCAAACACATCTTTAAAGTTTACATCCTGACAGCTTAATACCTTTTAAGTGGTGTGAAATCACTTTGTTCAGCAATGTGGAGCATCTAAGTCTGAGCAGGTGTTTTACAGGCTATGAATCAGCATTAACACAAAGATATAGAGCATGTTGTGTGTGGTTAATATTTTTTTTTTCTGGATCTCTCTGATTAGGTTTTAAAACAACTCTGTTATCTCGTTTCCCTGACACACTGCAAACAGACGAGACGAAAGGCCCAGAGTCCAACCGGAGGCTCCCTGCTTGACCTTTTTGATGAGCTGCACATAAACACCTCTGGGATTTGGCATCTGAAAAACACTAGCCATGTACCAAGTGGTGCCAGGCGGGGCAGGGGGCACAATTACAGATGTTATCCCCAAGCAGAAACACACCAAGGACTCCCGATCCTTGGTTGGAGCTGGAGTCATCGGTCTGTTACTGGTCATTGCAGCGGTGACTGCCTGGTGTTATTACATCGCCTCTCTACGCAAAGCTGAGCTGCTGAAGACTCAGCTGCTGGATCTTAATAAAGATGGCTACATTATCCGCAACCAGGGAGGCTCCATTGTTTTCAGAATGGATTTCAGGTTAGTCTTTTTACACAGCATATAAACACCATACAAGCAACATCGTATTCAATATTTATTTCTGGTAATAAAATATATATTTACCATAAATTTTGAGTAGAAATTTTTTTTTTTTTTTAATTTTTCAACTATTTCAATGTTACCTTTTAATGATCTTTTCTTGACCATCTCAAAAGTTTAGTGATTATTCTCCTCCAGACATATGTATTTTTAGGCAATCATTCTTATTCATTTTAATGCCCTCACAGCAAACAAAAGTCAAAATTCTGCTCCGGAGTAAGTCCGAGTATTACTTATGACATTTTTTTGTAACTTGTAAATACACAATTGTTATGCTATGTTTCAGTCCTCTGGTTCCAGTGTCTCAAACCAGATTGCAAACTGAGGAGCTAAATCAACCATTTGGTTCAGGAGCGTGGAAGCAGAGACATTGAAGGTGCAGGACACTGGACCTCAAGGACTGGAATCGAAGACCCGTGGTTAAAGCCGGACATACACTGTGTGATTTTTTACAATCGTTGCACACAGCTACAGCTCACACTGCAAGACGAAACTGCAGGCTGGCGCTACGCCACTGAGATGGAGCTAATCGGACTCATCTATCCGGAAGCCAAACGAGTAGAAGGGGAATATGAAGCTTGCTAGAGTGAAACGCACTGGCTTGGCAATTTGTGCAATTTTGTGCTGAAAGCCCTAAAAAGAAAAGGCGGCAACGTATTTGGACAAAGACATGGCTAAGCAAACGTGGCCACTATGGTCTGTCAATTTTACAGAGAGAACTCCATTTCACCCGCACCCCCGCCATGCTTCTGTGTTTTCATCTGAGAGAAAGAAGAAGAGTCCTTGTATGCCCACTGAGCGATTTGCCCACGATGTTACGCTGAAAATCAAACAGGTTTGATTTTCTCCCGACCTCAGGATTCCTGATCAGGAGGTGGTTGTGAGACGCTAATCGTCTCTCGTTACCCCCTGTACACTACACGATGCACAACGCATGATCAGGCTGAAAGTCGGTCCGTTCGGAAAATTCTTGCACGACTGGAAAGTCGACCTGAAAAGGGCAAAAAATCGCACAGTGTAAGCCCGGCTTAATACAATCCAGGAGGAGATTGACTTCTTGTCAGTTTCTCTGCTGACATTTGCTTACAAGGACAGTGAGCCGAACTTACAAAAATGCTGAACCGCTGAAACTGCAATATAAAAGCCTTGACTAGACATGAATCTCACCCAAAAAAACTCACTGTAGATTAGTGTAGCTGTATTGCTTTGTATTATATTAATATAAAAAGGGGTTAAGTGGATTTAAATAATGTATTCACATCATTTATCTGATATCTGATCCAGCTTAATACTCAAATCAGGTATCAGAGCATCTCTAGTAAATACTTAAAGCAGTACTGTACTAGCTACTAGAAGGACTAGTAACTTCCAGGTTTAGTGCCCCAGAATGCCACTGGCAAGACTGCACTATGTAAGTTAAATTAAATGGTCTGCCTCCATGTTTTATAATCTGAAAGTGAAGGCTTTGGTCCATTAGATTAAGAAGTCATGGACTCACTTGAAAAGACAAAGCTACATTTTATACCTCTAGATTAAATCCTAAAATAGAAATTGTGTCAAAAAAGTGTCTGTAGCAACAACTTTTTGGGGTTAGCTCTCATTTTAATTCAAGTCAGTTTATTCATATTGTGCCAATTCACAACACATGTGGACTCAAGGCACTTTACAATTCACCAGATCATACAAGAGGAGCTCAGATTGCTGTAAGCGGTGCTCTTGGTCTCATGACTCATTCACTGATGGATCTGACCCTCTTATGTTAAAGAGGCAACTTTTTGAGAAGGACAGCCCACACAGTTGGAAAATATATGCCAATAGCTGTATGTTGACTTGAAAAAAATTTAAGGTGCACTTCTCAAGTTAAATGGTTACATTTTTTTCTTTGCTATACATTTTACTTTATAGTTGCCTGACATATAAAAATTAGTTTTCCTCCATTTACTATAGTTGGGCTTCATTAGTCAGGAGAGAATGATTTTGGTTGGATTATATAAGAACTCCTTATTTGTTGAGATATTTTGATGTTTGTAACATTAACAATCAACTGAATATAATCTTTCAATCTTGACAGATCAGGGACCCTTGACTTGGACTCCTGTTCAAAAGAGGAGGAAATTCTTCGCTGTGAGAGGACCACTGACAGAAAGCTGAAGTTTTTTATAAAGACTGTGCGGCCCAAGGACACTGTGCAGTGCTACCGTGTGCGCTGGGAAGAACTGGTCCCTGACATTCCTGTTGAGCATGCCATGACTTACAAGTTTGCGCACTGGTACGGAGGTGCAGTGTCAGCAATTCAGCACTGGCCTATTTTAATTTCAGGCCAACAGACTCCCAAACCTTTTGTCACAAGTGATATTTACTCAAACCGCAGTGAATTTGGTGGAATTCTGGAGAGCTACTGGCTTTCATCCAATGCCACTGCAATCAAGATCAACAACTCTGTCCCTTTTCACCTAGGCTGGAATGACACAGAGAAAACTATGTACTTCCAAGCAAGGTACCACGATACCCCTTTCAAGCCAAATCCTGGGGAGGCTCCATGTGCAGAACTGAGCTATAGAGTCTGTGTAGGTTCAGATGTCACATCCATTCATAAGTACATGGTTCGGAGGTACTTTACCAAACCTTACAAAGTGCCTGCTAAAGTTATGTTTGAGCATCCAATTTGGTCGACTTGGGCTTTATATAAGCGCAACATTGATCAAGAAAAAGTCCTTACATATGCTGCCAATATTCGTAAGTATAACTTTAACTGTAGTCACCTGGAACTAGATGACCGTTACACAAAACGCTATGGAGATTTTGAGTTCGACCCAGTTAAGTTCCCTAATGCATCTGAAATGTTCAAAAAGTTAAAGTCGGATGGGTTTCTGGTTTCTCTCTGGATTCATCCTTTTGTCAACTATGACTCTGAGAACTTCCACCCTTTAGTGGAGAGAGGGTTGTTTGTTCGAGAGCCAACAGGTCAGCTGCCTGCATTGGTGCGCTGGTGGAATGGGATCGGCGGCATTTTGGATTTTACCAACCAAGAGGCGCGTGACTGGTTTACCTCTCAGCTGGATTCCTTACGCTCAAAGTATGGGGTGTCCTCTTTTAAATTTGATGCAGGGGAGACAAATTATTTACCCTGGAAATTTAGCACAAAAAATCACATTCGTGACCCCAGTTTTTTCACAAGGCGTTACACAGAGATAGTTGAAAAATACAAAGACCGAGCTGAGCTGCGCAGTGGTTACCAGTCCCAGAACATATCCTGTTTCTTCAGGCCAATTGATAGAGATTCTGTGTGGGGCTATGAGCTGGGCCTCAAGTCTCTGATCCCCACAGTGCTCACCATTAGCATCCTTGGGTATCAGTTCATCCTACCAGACATGATCGGGGGAAATGCCTATCTTAACCACACAAGCGGAGATCGGGCATTACCTGATAGAGAGCTTTACATCCGCTGGCTGGAGCTTTGTGCCTTCATGCCTTCCATGCAGTTTTCTATCCCACCATGGGAATACGACAACGAGGTGGTGGAAATTGCTCGAAAATACACAGCCATTCACAAAAGTATCGTGGCACCACGGGTCCTTGAGCTTGCAAGTGAGGTTTTAGACACCGGGGACCCGATCATACGTCCACTATGGTGGATTGCTACCGGTGATGAGACAGCCTATAAAATAGATTCCCAGTTCCTGATTGGTGATGACCTAATGGTAGCACCTGTTTTAGAGCCTGGAAAGCAAGAAAGAGACATATATCTACCTGCTGGGCACTGGAGAAGCTACAAAGGGGAAAGATTCGACATCAAGGAGCCACTGCACCTCACAGACTATCCTGTAGATTTGGATGAAATTGCTTACTTTGTTTGGGTTTAGCAAAAAACAAAATAGATTTTTTTTTTTCTGATTCTCCTCAATCCCTTTTTTGTGCCTTTTGAGCAGATTCATATACCTTGAAACTTTCTACATTTTGTCACTTTAAAAACAAACTTCGGAGTATTTAAATGACATGTTTTCTGTGATGGATAAACTTAAAAGATTGGATAATTTTCTATGTCTGTACCTGCTTTGCACATCTAGAGACTGAAATGTTTCCCTATTAACCTTTTTAAGCTTGCTGAATCTTAGATTAAGACTAGAACTCCCTGCCACAGATTCTTTGGTAGATTTAGGTCTTGACTTTGGGCCATTTAAGGATAAGTATACTTAAACCATTTTGTTATAAGACTGGCTGAAGGTTTGTGGTTGACGTGCTGTTGGATCCCAAGTCTTTTGTAGCTTCTAACAGCTTTTCATCCTGATTGTTACTGAATTTTGTTCCATCAGCTTTGACCACTTTCGCTTCCTTTACTGGAAAAAACAAAAAAAACCTCCCCCACACAAAAATACTGCCCTTGCAATATTTTTACATAGGGGATATCATGTTACGTGTGCCAAAATGTTTTGTTAGCCTCCTCTGACCAGGATAACGATGTTTAAATTGAAGACTTCATAGATTATGCCATGTTACTTTCTTTGAACAATTACCTTCTTTTCGCCAAAGTTGCATAAGCATCAGATGAACTGAGCACACAAGTTTTCAAACTTCGATCTGTGCAGCTCCTCAGTATACAACAAGCTTCTTGACTGCTTATCTGATCAATGCTCCCCTCAACTGCCTGTGGGTTTAGGTGGATACCCATGTTTTGGAAAAACTTTCTATGGAATACATTTCCCATTTTTATATGGCACATTGGACAGCTCTCTGTGAGGTGTTCAGAGCTTGAGATATTGTTGATAAGCTCCACAACTTTATCCCTGAACTATCCCCTGTGTTCCTTGGTATTCACAATGCTTTTCATTCAATGTTTTCTTACAAACTTCACAACCAGATCTAATTACACAAATCTTAAGTCTTTTCTTTAACTGGCTACTTAAAACCCTTAGTTGCTCTGGATTTTCCCATGCGACGACAGAAGTTCTTAGATTCGTAAAATATCTTAAAAGGCTACAACTTTATCTTTTCCTTTTACAATGGCTTTTTGATATATCACATAAATCTCAGTAAAATGTATTATAGTTCTGATGAGACAAAATGTGGAAAAGTTCAAGGGGTTTGGATGGTTTGGCACTAAATGTTTGGCAGATGACATTGTGTGAAATGCTCAAGGATTCATCTTCTTTAATATAGCAGTACATACTGTATGAATTCAACTCAGAAAGATAAGATAAGAAAGCATTGTGCCTTTGCACCATGTATTCAACACTTTGTCTTGGTTTGTATTTTTCTTTTTGAAATGAGATATATTTGTCATCTTTTAGTAATATCTTTCACACATCTTGAGCCAGCACTGGCCACTTTAAGCCAATGCACCTTGCCAAGAGCAAGGATCCTGTAGCAATAAAACTCAAAATGAATTGAAATAACAACTGTGATCCTAAGCTTATAAAATAAGCATCCAGGGTCTAGTTATTTATTTAGGGCCATGTAATGCCTTATATTAAACAATAGGTAGAGTGAATAAACAAAGCTGTTTTATCAGTGCCATTAAGCAGAATATACATTACATGATGATGCCCTGCTCCTGTGACTAATAACTGAGCTTCTTCTTGTTCAGTTGTTAGGAATATAGGCAAGAGGATTAATCATGAAATTGCTCTCATCTATGTAACCATGTGTCTTGTAACCTGTTTTACCCTGTATGACAAGGACTGTTACTGAGTTCTTCACTTTTGATGCTGCTTCTTGGGTAGCCGATTTTCTCAGGCTTTTTGTTAAAGTTTTCTTCTTAATGCTGCCAAGGCATTTAAGAAGCTGGTACTATCATAGTACAAAGTAAATGTACCACCACTTTGAAGAAACTGCTTAGGTAGATTTTTCCATAGTGTAGCTGACATGGATTGGTACACCCAATGGTTTTCCTATTATGAGCAATATAACCTCTCAGGTGTTTTGTTTTTAACTGATATGACATCTATATAACTGATAAATATAAGCTTTTTAGCTTGAAAATTAATTACGGATAACTATTATTATTTATCTGATACGTTCCTACGACGCAAACAGATCCTTTTGTCTGACATTTTGAACGTTGCCCAGGAAGAACCCCTCCCCTAAAAAAAAAGTGACTACCTTATATCGGCTTTACAGACATGCATTACATAAAATAACTCAGTGTCCTGATTTTTGTGTTTTTGTTTTTGTACATATATTAAAAGATTTTGGATTGTTGTGCCTTTTGAAGCTGAAATGAAAATGGGACATTGAAATTTAAGCCCAAGACCCCATCTGACTGTGACTTAATGTGCAAATTAACCTTTTAAAAATGCTGTGTATTAATGCTTTGTGTCTTTGAACTATAAAGTGCTGCTGACCTGATTTGATCCTTAGAACTTCTGCTTCTGCACTGACCTCGGTGGGATTTGTTTCTCTTCTTTGACATCATGTCACAAAAACATCTCTTTTTATTTATAGCATCCCTCATTTAGCATCTGTACCAGGCTAACCTCAGACTATTTTTGTCCAATGCTAGACTGAATGGTCTGGCCATTCATTTACTTTTGATTCGTTGAGCTCAGCGGGAGCTTTTATGTTGTTTTTTTCTTCAAATTGTACAAATGGGGATACCACAGAACTCCTAAATTAACTTTGATGTTATTTTTACTAATGTACCGGTATTAAAATGATTATGTGATAATTCATTTGTTGTTGTTTATAACCCCAGTTTAACTAACCTGTAAATTACAATATCGATATAATTTCTGCGATATTTTTGTTTCAATACATAAATGTTTGGTAAGAAAGCTTATTAATGCTTCTCTGTAAAGGCTAAGAGGTCAAAGTTATCTTATGAGCTGTCGATCTCTGCAGCAACTTATAGGATAACTATGACCCATTAGCTGCTTCTCAAAGGATGAGAGGCATTTTAAAGACCTATAAATTCCTTCTTTTCAACCTCTAGTGTTAGGAACTTTTTTTAAGTTGCTAATTCCTATAAAATCCCGGTAGACTTCCCTGACATGTTTATTGTTGCAAGCCCCTGTATTACCTGGCTTTTTTTTATACAGTCGATTTCCTGGAAGGACAGTAATGGAGCTGTAGGACCAGGAGGACTTAATTATCTTCTATCTTTTTATATCTAGTCAGTTTTGATTAAGTTTGTCAAATCTATTTTCTCTCTAGATGTTACCATTAGACTTGCTGTGAGCAGCAGTAGTGTCTGTATGAAACTGATAATAGGACTTTTTCCTTCCTCCCTGTACTTGTTGCTTGTGCTGTCACATTTGAGTGGAATGATCCAGATTGTGTCCAGTTTGGTTAATCAGCAGTGACAGAGCACAGCACTCAGTATTCTTATCTTGCCTCATTGGCATTTACAGAGGTTCTAGGCTAAATTCCTTCTTCGCTGTCCTTCCATACAAATGAGTTTCCCCTCAATTGAACCCATGTGTTAGAATTACGATCTGCAACATCCACTTAGTTTCTTCGAGGCCCTTTGGATGAATATTTGTTTTGTTAAATCTCAAACACACCTTTAAAGTTTACATCCTGACAGCCTAATACCTTTAAGTGGTGTGAAATCACTTTGTTCAGCATTGAGAGGATGTAAGCCATAGATTTAAGTGTATTACTGGCTTTTATTCAGTATTAACACAAAGCAATCTAGTCTTAAAGTCAATGTGTAAAACTTACATGGTCTACATGGCAAAATGATACATTTCAATAACAAATAGGCCACATTTTATGTTACTTGACTATCCAAACAAAAATCCAACCATTCCCCTACTTTATGTGAAGAATGAAAACTTTTGACAAAAGTCTCAGCTTTTCTATGCGTTTGATTACATTTCTATGGGTTTTCATAATCTTTCAGGGAGCTTAGATTATATTTTTGTTCAATGGTTTCACCAAAGATGCGTCTTTTTAAAACCAAGGTTTCAAATTGTTTTCTTCACACTTGATATCTATGTAAAAGTCCCACCATCATTAGGTGTTATACTAAGTGTAGAAAGTTAAATCCTAAAGACTTAGACAAACTTTTTTGTCATTTGGTATACACAGAGTGTATTTCATTTCATGTGTTTCATTTTGTACAGCTCTCATGAAATTTTCATTTCTTAAAGTGCAGCAGTGAACAAAAATAATAATTGTGGGAGAAAAAAAATACATGATGCAAAAACAAAACAAAACCCCCCCCGCATTGATATGGTCAGTTTGACGCAGAGTCTGTAACATAATTTTGAGTTTTTTCAACATTCAGCTGTCTTGTGGCGGTGGGGAAGAAGCTGTTTTGGATACTGCTGGACCTGTATTTAATGCTGTGAAGCCTCTTCCCAGAGGGCAGCAGGGAGAACAGTCCATGGTGGGGGTGTGTGGGGTCATTGATTATGTTACAGGCTCGGGACATGCAGCGCTGGGATGAAATGTCCTAGAGGAGCCCCGATAATCTTCTCTGCAGTTCTCACTACTCTCCTCACCTACTTCCAGTCTGAACATACAATATAACTTAACATGCAAAAAATTACAATTTCATGGAAACTTCAAAACAGGAAAGAGCCTGGCCTTAAAATTTTGGCAAAACTTTTCCCTTTGCATAGATTTTAGTATTTGGAAGTACAGTTTTATTAAGCCAGTTTATGTGACTGGAGCTACTGATGGATACAGCACAGAAAGGTGTACACAACTCATTTAATCTATTGTGAAAAATGAAAATTACCTTATTGTGCATTTACCTAATATATATGACTGTTCTTAGACTGCACTGCAAAAACAATCTGGAAAAAAGTTGTATGTATGTAATATAGACTGATGTTTGGTTTACATGACATGACATTGGTATGTAAGCACCTTCAGGCACTCCTGAAGACTAAGGTGGAGGCCTCAACAATGATCAAGACTTCTAGACAACTAGTACACTGAGCTATTTTCCTTGTAAAGCAATTTCTGCTGCTAGAGCAGTTGGAAATGTGCTTTATAAAAAATTTGTCCTTAACCTTGAAAAGATTTACAATTAATTTGCCTTTGAGATCAATAAAGTATGCCTGAACTGATAATTGTTTTTTATTGAATGGCCTTAAATAGCTCAGATCGAGTAATATGACTCATGTATCTTGTAACTCAGATACTTACCAACACATAATGCACATTTCTGTTTATCAGCACTTCTGATTTACAATGCATAATCATGTAAAATGGAAGATGTATTTCCATGGAATACCTGTATCTAAAAATATCTTATGTAACTCCTAACTTTGTAATACGTCCATATGACCACTCCCCTTGTTTATGTGAAAAATGAAACATTTTTGATGAAAGCATCTATACTAATACAGTATGCATTTGATGACATGAATTGTGTAGATGAAAAAAAAACATTTTCTTGATGAGAAAATGAAATCTTCACATAAAGAAATAATAAAAAAAAAAGACTTTATACATTCCCTTAACAAAGATTATAAGAATATTATGCATGCTTTGGCTATGAAAATAATTTAGTCTTCAAAATGTTTGCATTTTTTGCTAAAAATACAGGTGAGGTTGGTAAATAGATGCAGTTCTACCAAGATATTAGTGTTCATTGCAACATACTTAACAGCGGCAGATGGCTGCATGTAAAATAGTTGAATTGATGTGGACTCTTTAGCAAAAGCAGATCCTGTTGACCCTTTTTGAGTAAACAAAGACTACAAACTGGAGTTTTTGAGATCAATGTAAGAAATTTTGTAATGTGATGTTATGGTCTACATTAGCATTCTTTAGTTCCAGTCTTAAAGGTCCGGTGTCTTGTGCTTGACTGTATTCTAAGAAGTCCATATCCTTTCCACACCTGGCTCAAATGAAGAAGCTTTGTAAATCCTTCAGCTCACCTCTGACCTTTCTGTTCCAGACTCAAAATCCTAATCTGTGTCGTTTGGGGCCATTGTGAAAAAAGAGCCGGCCCAGGTTGCTCATTTTTATATTTCTCCCCAAATTGATACAACTTTATATGGCTTTCAGGGTCCCTAGTACAAACATGGAGCAGATTTGGGCCACACGTTATGACTAATTACTGTAGTGGGCCAGATTTAGGGCAAATAACCATGACTATTATTTGTCACGGTTTTCATCCACAGGCGGTGTTTCTAATGTTGTCTGTTTGTTTTCCATTTGCTTAAGATTTTAACCTAAGTAGGAGAAGGGTGTTGCAGTTCTGTGTTTTGGCCACAAGTGGCAGAATCATTAGCAATTGCTCTAATGCCTCTTTAACCAAAAACTAACAACAAAAATCTTGAAATTAATTATACAGTACAGCATACTAGAATTATAAAGTGATTAAGAATCAGTTTTCATGTTTAATGTGGTAGAGTTTGTCTCTACAGTCAGCTGTAAATCTATGCAATCTAAAGATAAAGAGCAACTTCTCAGCTAATACGATTCAATTTATACAGATATAGAACCATAACTTAGTTTGAATAGCACCAATGTTTAAAAAATTTGACATGAAATTCCCTTTTAATAGGAAGAAACCTCCAGTAGAATCAGGCTAAGTGTGAGCAACCATCTGCCAAGGCTGGTTGGGGTTCAAGGAGACAGAAGCAGATGAAGGCATAAACGAATTATGTTATTTGGCGCTCTGGCCCCTGCAGAAGATTTTGATGCAGTGAATCAACACACGCATGCTGAGTAACCTAGAAAAGTATTAGTAGTCTTTCTCCCGGGGCCCGTTCAGTGGTTGTGGAATAAGCTAGGGGATTAGTGCGACTGTGAATGAGGGAGGAGACTGGGTGAAAGTTAGCTTTCGTGCGGGAGAGAAAAGCTAGGCCAGAAGCTGAATGAAGGGGATCTTGCAAGATGATTGACTTCAGAGAAGATGCGGCCACAGAGTTGATTGGTTGGAGCTGAACAAGGGACAGCACAGGTGGTTCAGGTGAAGCTGATAAGAGTCTTCCAGACTTAATTGAAGCTGAATTTAAACTTAGCTTCATTTCTCAAGTAAGAGTAGTTTTACTTTTTATTTTTAGTAAGTAAAAAGTACAATGCTGAAGAACTTCTCCAAAAATGTAATTTTTTCTAAATA